AAATGGAGTAGCCTTCATAATTAATAAGAAATTAGCTAAAGCGGTGCTTGGATACAACCCAAAAAATGACAGAATGATCTCAATTCGAGTGCAAGGAAAGCCTTTCAACATTACGGTGATCCAAATATACGCCCCAACCACAGCTGCTGAAGAAGCAGAAGTAGATCAGTTCTATGAGGATCTGCAGGACCTACTGGATAATACACCAAAAAGAGACATTATTTTCACTACAGGAGACTGGAATGCCAAGGTGGGAAGTCAAATGACAACAGGGATCACAGGCAAGCATGGTCTGGGAGAACAAAATGAAGCGTGACGCAGGCTGATAGAATTTTGCCAGGAAAACTCGCTGTGTATAACGAATACTCTCTTCCAACAACCTAAAAGACGGCTTTATACATGGACCTCACCAGACGGTCAACACCGAAATCAGATTGACTACATCCTTTGCAGCCAAAGGTGGCGGACATCCATCCAGTCGGTGAAAACAAGACCTGGGGCTGACTGTAGCTCAGTTCACGAACTTCTTATTGCCCAATTTAGAATAAAACTAAAGAGATCAGGGAAAATACACAGACCAGTTAGATATGATCTCACTAACATTCCTAGCGAATAACTTCTGCTTCATTGACTATTCTAAAGCCTTTGACTGTGTGGATCATAATAAATTGTGGCAAGTCCTTGGTGGGATGGGCATCCCAAGCCACCTTGTCTCTCTCCTGAGGAATCTGTACAAGGACCAAGTAGCAACAGTCAGAACTGACCACGGAACAACAGACTGGTTCAAGATTGGGAAAGGCGTACGGCAAGGCTGCATCCTCTCACCCAACCTTTTTAACTTGTATGCAGAACACAGTCATGCGATGTGCGGGGCTGGATGAATGCAAAGCTGGGGTGAAAATTGCTGGAAGAAACATTAACAACCTCAGATATGCAGATGACACCACTCTGATGGCCGAAGCGAGGAGGAGCTGAGGAGCCTTCTAATCAAGGTGAAAGAAGAAAGCGAAAAAGCCGGGTTGCAGCTAAACGTCAAAAAAACCAAGATTATGGCAACAAGAATGATTGACAACTGGAAATAGAGGGAGAAACCGTGGAGGCCGAGACAGACTTTGTATTTCTAGGTGCAAAGATTACTGCAAATGCAGACTGTGGCCAGGAAATCAGAAGACGCCTACTTCTTGGGAGGAGAGCAATGTCCAATCTCGATAAAATAGTAAAGAGTAGAGACATCAGACTGGCAACAAAGATCCGCCTAGTCAAAGCCATGGTATTCCCTGCAGTAACCTACGGATGTGAGAGCTGGACCTTAGGGAAGGCTGAGCGAAGGAAGATCGATGCTTTTGAGCTGTGGTGCTGGAGGAAAGTTCTGAGAGTGCCTTGGACTGCGAGAAGATCCAACCAGTCCATCCTCCAGGAAATAAAGCCCGACTGCTCACTGGAGGGAAAGATAGTAGAGACAAAGTTGAAGTACTTTGGCCACATCATGAGGAGACAGGAAAGCCTAGAGAAGACAATTATGCTGGGGAAAGTGGAAGGCAAAAGGAAGAGGGGCCGACCAAGGGCAAGATGGATGGATGGCATCCTTGAAGTGACTGGATTGACCTTGAGGGAGCTGGGGGTGGTAACGGCCGACAGGGAGCTCTGGCGTGGGCTGGTCCATGAGGTCACGAAGAGTCGGAGACGACTGAACGAATGAACAACAACTGACTTAAAATTCCACCTCTGTCGGTGTGTATTTATTACACATTAATCCTACCTTTATAGCGAGGAGTCCAAGATAATCGCTCTTTCCAATCTAACTCCACTTTGTTTTCACGACTGTCTAATGAGAAAGGTTAATCAAGTGACAACAAATGTTTACCACCCAGTATTAACCAATGTATTATAATGCCACTCGCTATGACCAAATGAACTTTTGTCAGAATGGAAACAATAGTTCTCATTTTTAATAAAAGCATCCTCTTGGTGCAATGCAATGCATCTCATATATGCAACTCAGGCCTGGGCAAACATGGGCTCTCCAGGTGTTTGGACTTCAACTCCCACCGTTGTGGAAACTGAAGTGCAAAACACCTGGACGGCCCAAGTTTCCCCAGGACTGCTATACACTATACTTTCTTTGGCTCCCTTTTGCAGGAATTTGTGATCTATTTACCACCACAGTTTGAAGCCAGCTTCAAACTGCATTAAATACCCAGCGTAGATATACGTGGCAGATTTCCTGCTCTTTTAGCTACAATATTCTGGTTTGGGCCAGTGACGCCAATCTACTGCGATGTTTCATGAAGAAATAAACAAATCCTATAAAATACTAAATGTCTTGTTTACATCATTGTGTGCCTCGCTATTGTACCTGACCTATGATATCAATGTGTTTTAACTTTATCCCTGGTTTTTAATATGGTCTTGTTTTGTATTTTAAATATCAATTATTATAATATATTATTTATTTATTTATTTCGAACATTTCTACCCCGCCCTTCTCAACCCCTGGGGGGGACACTCAGGGCGGCTAACAATTGGCAATAATTCAATGCCGCATCATAAAATACAGAATACAGAATAACAAATCTAACAATTAACATGAACATTAATAAATAAAGATTAAAAACAGTATACTTACACTCTGATTAGCTATTGCCCGTCTGGTGGCTGTTTAGCTAGCCATCTACTAATGATTACTCCGCTTAACTTATCCAAATCCTCTTCCATGCCATAGTCAAACATTATCAATTGTCCTTTAACCTGATTGCCCGAAGGCCTGGTCCCACAGCCATGTTTTAACCTTTTTTCTAAAGGTGAGGAGGGATGACGATGACCTAATTTCCCCGGGGAGCAAATTCCACAGGGGGGGGCCACCACCGAGAAGGCCCTGTCCCTCGTCCCCGCCAAGTGTGTTTGAGACAAAGGCAGGGCTGAGAGCAGGGCTTCCCCAGACGATCTTAAGCTCCGAGGTGGGACGTAGAAGGAGATACGTTCGGACAGGTATGCTGGACTAGAGCCGTATAGGGTTTTATAGGTCAAGACCAGAACTTTGAATTGTGGAGCTGGCACAGCAGGGGGGTGGTATGCTCCCTGTATGACGCTCCAGTGAGTAATCTAGCTGCTGCCCGTTGGACTAATTGCAATTTCCGAACAGTCTTCAAAGGCAACCCCACGTAGAGCGCGTTGCAGTAATCTATTCGGGATGTGACAAGAGCGTGGACCACCGTAGCCAAATCAGACTTCCTAAGGTACGGGTGCAGCTGCCGCACGAGTTTTAACTGTGCAAAAGCTCTCCCGGCCACTGCCGAGACCTGGGGTTCCAGGCTCAGCAATGAATCCAGGATCACTCCCAAACTGTGAACCTGCGTCTTCAGGGGGAGTCCAACCCCAGCTATGATCCAAAATTTTGGGTCATAGCTGGGGCCAAATTGTCTGAGGAATTGTCTTGGTGCAGATTTGGGAAGGATGGACCACAAATGATGGAATTTGCAGTACCCTCATCCACATCTAGAGACTACTGCGACCCCCAAGAATGACGGATCTGGACCAAACTTGCCACAAAGAGACTTTGTAACATACTTTACATCCCGATCCATCGTTGGTTGGGTTCACAATGCTCTCTGCATGTAGGGGAACTACAACTCCCATAAATCATGGTGAATTGTTCCCAAACTTCTTGTCCTGTTGCTGAATAATTCCTGTTTGCTGTGTGTGCCATAAGAAAGGGTTAAGGGAGAGGCAGTGGGCTGGGGTCATGCAAATTCCACAGCAATGGAAAGAGTAAGGAACCCTGGGATGTAGGTGAACTACAACTCCTATAAATCATGGTGAATTGTTCCCAAACCTCTTGTTCCGTTGCTGATCAATTCCTGTTTGATGTGTGTGCCATAGGAAAGGGTTAAGGGAGAGGCAGTGGGCTGGGGTCATGCAAATTCCACAGCAATGGAAAGAGTAAGGAACCCTGGGATGTAGGTGAACTACAACACCTATAAAACATGGTGAATTGTTCCCAAACCCCTTGTTCCATTGCTGATCTATTCCTGTTTGCTGTGTGTGCCGTAGGAAAGGGTTAAAGGAGAGGCAGTCGCAGGTGATGCAAATTCCACAGCAATGGAAAGAGTAAGGAACCCTGGGATGTAGGTGAACTACAACTCCTATAAATCATGGTGAATTGTTCCCAAACCTCTTGTTCCGTTGCTGATCAATTCCTGTTTACTGTGTGTGCCGTAGGAAAGGGTTAAGGGAGAGGCAGTGGGCGGGGTGATGCAAATTCCACAGCAATGGAAAGAGTAAGGAACCCTGGGATGTAGGTGAACTACAACTTCTATAAATCATGGTGAATTCTTCCCAAACCTCTTGTTCTGTTGCTGATCAATTCCTGTTTGCTGTGTGTGACATAGCAAAGGGTTAAGGGAGAGGCAGTGGGCGGGGTGATGCAAATTCCACAGCGACGGAAAGAGTAAGGAACCCTGGGATGTAGGTGAACTACAACTCCTATAAATCATGGTGAATTCTTCCCAAACCTCTTGTTCCGTTGCTGATCAATTCCTGTTTGCTGTGTGTGCCATAAGAAAGGGTTAAGGGAGAGGCAGTGGGCGGGGTGATGCAAATTCCACAGCAATGGAAAGAGTAAGGAACCCTGGGATGCCCATGCTTGAGAAAAAAGAGAACATCTAGGATGAAATTGTAACCAAATGAAAGGCTGTCTCTGCCACATACGCATTTATTCATATTATTAATTAATCAATTATTAATCAATTATTAATTAATTATTAATTAAACAGTTATTAATCAATCAATTATTAATTAATTATTAATTAATCAATTATTAATTAATTATTAATTAATCAATTATTAATTAATTAATTATTAATATTTCTATGTAGCTAGAGCCTGGGCTACTATTGTGTCCATCTGCCTCATTAGATATAGAATGTTGTGAGGCCATCTGTTGGGCAAGAGTTTCAGCGCCTGAGGGAAAAGTCCCCAAGGCGCATGCGCACCCGCCTCACCTGGGCGCCCGATTCCGCCTTCCCGAACCTGTCAGTCATCCTAGCTGGGGAAGCGAGCGAGCGCGCGGGATCCCCTCCGCTGCACAGCTTTCCTATGGAGACGGCAGCCACAGCTTTGGACCCCACTGCGCATGCGTTCCCAGGCACCGCGCAGGCGTACGAGCGGTCAAAAAAAAGAAGAAAAGAGGGAACTCTCTGTTTTGCGCGTGCGCAGTGGCCACGGAAAGGTCCCCTCGCTGCCCTCTGCTGCCTGTCCCGCTCAGACAGTACCGTATTGACAGAAGTACGCGCGCAGCAAGTTTTCTAGACCTCAAAAGGAATAGGTTCTCCCTCTCTTTTATTTTTGATCATACAGTACCGTATTTACAGAAATACGCGCGCAGCAAGTTTTCTAGACTTCAATAGGAATAGGTTCTCCCTCTCTTTTATTTTTGATGCTGGGTGTTTTAGAAACGTCCTTACTTGATTATTATTATTATTATTATTATTATTATTTATTGTGTTGTTGCTTAATGCATCTACTAGGATTCAAATTGCAGTTATCTTTACAGTATTTCATTATAATAATAATATTTATTGTAGTATTGTATAGTATTGTTGCTTAATGCATCTACTGGGATTCAAATTGCAGTTATCTTTACAGTATTTCATAATAATAATAATAATATTTATTTATTTACTTTACTTTACTTTACTTGTATACTGCAGTTTCTCAGCCCAACAGGCGACTCAACGCGGTTTACAGCAAGGATAAGAATCAAACAACGATATACAATTTAAAACCATAAAAGTATAATATACAATATTGACACAACAATAGACAACACAATGCATCTCATAACTAGAGTCGTGATCCAATCCGTCGTCCAAATTTCCATTCCTGTAATCATCACATTCATTGCACTGTTTAACCGAATGCCCGTTCAAACATCCAAGTTTTTAATCTTCTTCGGAACACCATTAGCGAGGGGGCTGATCTTACCTCCATAGGAAGGGCGTTCCACAGCCGGGGGACCACCACAGAAAAGGCCCTGTCTCTCGTCCCCGCCAGCCGCACCTGTGAAGCAGGCGGGATAGAGAGCAGGGCCTCCCCAGAAGATCTTAGGGTCCTGGCGGGCTGATAGGCAGAGATACATTCGGATAGGTAACTTGGGCCAGAACCGTTTAGGGCTTTATAGGCCAACGCCAGCACTTTGAATTGAATAATAATAATAATAATTGTAGTAGTGTAGTAATGTATTGTTGTTTAATACATCTACTGGGATTCAAACTGCAGTCATGTTTACAGTATTTAATTATTATTATAATATTATTATTTATTGTAGTATTGTATAGTATTGTTGCTTAATGCATCTACTGGGATTCAAATTGCAGTTATGTTTGCAGTATTTCATAATAATAATATTTATTGTAGTATAGTATTGCATTGTTGCTTAATGCATCTACTGGGATTCAAACTGCAGTTATTTTTACAGTATTTAATAATAATAATAATAATAATAATAATAATAATTGTAGTAGTATAGTAATGTATTGTTGCTTAATACATCTACTGGGATTCAAACTGCAGTCATGTTTACAGTATTTAATTATTATTACAATAATATTATTTATTGTAGTATAGTATTGTATTGTTGCTTAATGCATCTACTAGGATTCAAATTGCAGTTATGTTTTCAGTATTTTATTATTATTATTATTATTATTTAATGTAGTATAGTATTGTATTGTTGCTTAATGCATCTACTGGGATTCAAATTGCAGTTATATTTACAGTATTTCATTATTATAACAGTATTATTATTTATTGTAGTATAGTATTGTATTGTTGCTTAATGCATCTATTGGAATTCAAATTGCAGTTATGTTTGCAGTATTTAATTATTAAGATTATTATATTATTTATTGTAGTATAGTATTGTATTGTTGCTTAATGCATCTACTGGGATTCAAATTGCAGCCATGTTTACAGTATTTCATTATTATTATAATATTATTTTTTGTTGTATAGTATTGTATTGTTGCTTAATGCATCTACTGGGGTTCAAATTGCAGTTATGTTTACAGTATTTCAATATTATATTATTATTATTATTATTATTTATTGTAGTATAGTATAGTATCGTTGCTTAATGCATCTGGGATTCAAATTGCAGTTATGTTTTCCAGTATTTAATTATTATAAAATTATTTATTGTCATATAGTATTGTATTGTTGCATCTAGTGGGATTCAAACTTAATGCATCTAATAGGTGAGGGTACTGCAAATCCCATCATCCATGGTCCATCCTTCCCAAAACTTCACCAAGGTGTGAGGTGGGAAATTGGGAGTTTGTGTTCCATGTTTGGTCCAAGTCCATCATTAGTGACGATTGCTGTAATCTCTGGAAGTGAATGAAGGTACTGCAAATCCCATCATCAGATAGCACAAGGATGTAAGGTGGGTCATGGGGAGTAATATTCTTTACTAGCTAGGGGACCCAGCAGTGCCCGGGTTATTTGAGAAAGGCATTGTTTGTTTTTTGAAGTTTGGCAATATCCAGATATGCAGATGATACCACTTTGATGGCCGAAAACAAGGGGGAGACTTCTAACCAAGGTGAAAGTACAAAGTGCAAAAGCTGGGTTCAGATAAACATAAAAAACCCACAATGATGGCAACCAGACTGATTGATAACTGGCAAATAGAGGGCGAAAACGTGGAGGAAGTGACAGACATTATGTTTCTAGGTGCAAAGATTACTGCAGACGCAGACTGCAGCCCGGAAATCAGGAGACGTTTCCTTCTTGGGAGGAGAGCAAGGATCAAACTCAATAAAATAGTGAAGAGTAGAGACATCACACTGGCAATGAAGATCTGTATAGCAAAAGCAATGGTATTTCCCATAGTAACCTATGGATGTGAGAGCTGGACCATAAGGAAGGCTGAGCAAAGGAAGATAAACACTTTTGAACTGTGGTGTTGGAGGAAAATTCTGAGAGTGCCTTGGACTGTGAGAAGATCCAACCAGTCCATACTCCAGGAAATAATGCCTGGCTGCTCATTGGAGGGAAGGATATTAGAGGCAAAGATGAAGTACTTTGGCCACATCATGAGAAGACAGGAAAGCTTGGAAAAAGATAATGATGCAAGGAAAAACGGAAGGAAAAAGGAAGAGGGGCCGACCAAGGGCAAGATGGATGGATGGTATCCTTGACTTTGAAGGAGCTGGGGGTGGCAACAGCCCTCAGGGAGCTCTGGCATGGGCTGGTCCAGGAGATCACAAAGAGTCAGAAGCGACTGAACGAATAAACAACAACAACAAATATCCATTTGGTAATGTCTAATGCTATTTATTAGGAAAAAAGCTAGCCTCTTCTTTTTTTATGAATGCTCCCAACAGAAAATGCACAAGGATGTAAGTGAACTACAATTCCCAGAATCGTATGTTTAAATACTTAATTGCATTTGCATTGTTTGTCACACAATTCAGAAACAATCTAAATTAAATTTCATTCATGCCAAGTATTTACAGTATTGTATTGTAAACAAGTAATTGGACGCACCGCCGACACATGCTGGACTTCCCAACAATGTGTGACATACTCTCCTGTGAACACTAGCTTGTGAAGACTTGACCACTGAAGAATTATAATTTGCATTTTGTGTGTTCGTTTGGAAAAATAAAATAATTACGACAACTTTGTTACTTAACAGATGAAACAGGTACAAATGGTTTTTTCAAAATTGCCATTTTTCTTTATAGTTCCACTGCCCCCTAATTTTTATTCAATGCACTCCAATTGCAACACAGGCTACTAATGCCTCCCTGGATCGTTCCAGGGGCAATATTGCCCACTTTGGGAAGTACTGATCTACACTACATAATTGATGCACTTTGACACCACTTTAACTGCCGTGGCTTAGTGCTATAGCATCCTAGGATTCATAGTTTCGTGAGGCATCGGCACTCTGGCAGAGATGGCAAGTGATCTTGTAATGCTACAACTCAATACAGGATTCCATTGTATTGAGCCATGTGGTGTCAAACTGGATTAATTCTGCAGTGTAGATGACCTCTTCTCAGCGGGCTCAGGCAAAAGCAAATTGCTGCAACCTGAGCTCACTTAGTATGTAACTTTTACCTTATCGATGACTTTTGCTATTTTAATTAAACACTGATATTGCTTAGCTACTTAAGCCCCAGTTTCCATCTCTGCAATGTTGGAGGATTCAAGGAAAGGCAGTTCACTCCTTTTTTTGACCATGAGGAAGTCAGGTTGGGGTGAGGACCCTAAAGATAACCCTGTTGAAGGTTTTGTGTTCCCAAGCCTCACTTTACTTACCTACCTTTGACAACAGGCTTTCATATGCAGATTATAATGATATGTTTTCTGCTCAGTGGTGCATTTCCATGGCAGAATACTTAAGCGCTTTGCAAATATGAGTGAATTAATCCTCTCAATATCCCTGGAGAGAGTGTACATTAAATTAAAAAGTAATTGTGGGAAGATACAATTACCTTTAGTCTAGCAGAGGAATTGCAAGCTCCAAAGCAATCATATGAAGCAGTATTTCTCAAGCAATATGATTGCCATTTTCTCTCTCCCAATTTGACAGGCACCAGGACCATATTTGCAACCATGGACTATGCAGCTAGATCTCCATATCCGCAGACCCTACATCCACGGATTCAACCATCCACAGCTTGAAGATATTTTTAAAAATCCAACCAAGTCATCTTTGATTTTGCCATTAAAAATGCACAATTTTACTGCTGCATTGTATAATGGGACTTGAGCACCCATGGGTTTTGAGGCCCATTTAGTCAACCACTTTGAGAGAAAAAGCAGGTTATAAATAAACATAAACATAATAATATATGTTTTAGACAATAACAAATTTTGGAGTATTTTATTACTTACATCTAAGTTGGCCGGAGTCTCCAGTGGCACAGCGGGTTTTAATCTTGAGGAACGGTGTGAGCTCCCGCTGTTAGCCTCAGCTTCTGTCAGTCTAGCAGTTTGAAAACATGCAAAGGTGAGTAGATCAATAGGTACCGCTTCTTAGCGAAGGTATTGGTGCTCCATGCCGGCCAGATGACCTTGGAGGTGTCGATGGACAA